TCAAAAAGACTTTTTGGCTGATATAAGATTTTAAAACTTGGTTAGGTGGACAGTTTTTGCAGTGAAGGAAGTCGGTTCTGTTTTCAAAAACCAGGTGTATAGTAACAAAGTACATGTACTTCATTACAGTATTTAATTTTTTTGAAGATCTGTAATTTTACCAAGTATTATTTTAAATTGTAACTTTTACATTTATTTCATTACATTCAAAACATAAAAATATTTTTACTTCTTTACTTTAAAATTCAACACCTCGAACTACAAATTTAAATATGACCAGAATTCATCAGTTGTTTATGCACTCTAAAAAATGAAGTGATGAATTTACCTAACCAAGACATGTCAACTGGTTCAACTATTTACACATTTTCTTAAAGTGTGTAAAAGTACTTTTACTTCCCCAATTATTGTGAGTAGTTTTATGACTTTTACTTGAGTACTTTTATTTTCAGTGAAATTCGTTTTACCAAAGTCAGTGAAGGTATTTTTTACCTTTACTGTCAAAAACTAAAAGAAACCTTTAAAGCAGAATGACAGGGAAAGTTATATTTCTTTATTACTAAAACATTGTGTTTTCCCCCAACAAATCATATGACTGTTTCACTCCAAAAAGAAAACTGTTAGTTTTTGATACTTTTCTCCAGCTGGAATCTATTGGAAGAGGTCTCATTTTCTCTGAGGTGAACCTTTTTCAGGTAAAAGTTTGATCTTATCAACAATAAACCGGTTCAACAAAAACAAACTGAGCTCGTTCTGAAGCAGGTTTGAGGATTTAAAAAGGTGTTTTTGACAGAACTTCACTTTGCTACTTCAATTTTGTTTTGTTTTAATGATGTGTTTGAAGCTCGGAGCACAAAGAAAACAACTTGTGATGCAGCAGCTGGGTTTGATACCAAACATGTTCAAAAATCCGGGTTTATAAGAAGTTTTCCTTCAGAATCTATAAGTCATTAACTGTTAGAATAAAACACAAATGTGAACAGAACTTCCATCAAATCAAATACTTACACACTGGAAAAGCCCTGCTTCTGTTCTGGCTCTGTTCTGCTGTCTGGCTCACAATCTGATTCATCGACAAACTCTTCATCCTTCCTGTCTTCTTGCACCTCTTCTTCACTCCTGCACCTCTCCTTCCCCTCAATCCTGTCCCTGCTCTGGACCTGATTAGTCCTGCTCTGGACCTGGACATGGTTGGTCTTGCTCTGGACCTGATTAGTCCTGCTCTGGACCTGGACATGGTTGGTCCTGTTAGACTCTAGTTCTACAAACACACTCTTGTCTTTGGGCACATGGACCATGCTGGCTCTGTCCTCCGCTAAAGAGAACGGGGAGTTGTGTCCGGGTCTAAGGCTCAGTGGAAAGGTCACGTGTGAGTTCTGCCGGGCAGCAGAACAGAACTTCAGAACCGGAGGTCTGAGTGTGGCATGTGCAGGCGTCTCTGAGGAGCAGGAGAACGAAGCCGAGCTGGCCCTCGGGGAAAACCACGCATCGGCCAGAGCCTGTACTTTGGGGTCCGTGTTCTGATTTGAAGCGGTCTCTGAGGCGGCCTCTCGGTTCCCTGAAGAGGTGATATGAAACTTAGTCCGGGTGGGGGTCCGTTTGTCAGATAACGGGGGGAGACCTAGACTCTGGCGCCACTTGATGGACTCTGCCTGGGACGGAGCAGAGATAGAACTCAAAGGTGGTCCACTTCTCTCAGACTGAGAGCGGGCGGCACGGTCTCCATCAGTGTTAGGTCCCCTTTGCTGGTTTCTGGCTGACCCCGCTCCGTCTGCTGGTTCCAAAAGACTGGGACTGCAGGACTGTTGGCTAGAAGGAGAGAGGTCTGACAGCCTGCGGGGGATCTGATCTTCAGCTGGACCGCTTGGACATGCAGGCAAACGACCTTTTGGATCTGAAAGAATCTCAGCCAGCTGAGCTTCCTTCTTAACATCTTCAGGTTTCGTGTGTCCATGTTGAACTAGGACTGTCCCGTTCCTGCACATATGTCCATCTTTCAGTTTGTCCGCAGAGGACACTTTGGCCTTCTCAGCCAGAAACCTTTGGATCTCCTCCTCGATGCTGTCATCACTGTCCACAGAGCTGCTGTCGTTGTTTATCTGAGCAGAGAGCAGCGACTGGCTGTCTCCACCGTCCTCACTTGGCTTTGGTTGTGACACGGTCTTGTTATTCAGTCCATCCTTGTCTTTATCCTTGTGGACTCTTTTCAAAGCACTACATTTGGAAACAGGGTCGAGTTTGAACTTTTTGGTGGGCACAGCGTTTCCGGAAAGTGGCTCTTGGACTCCGAGGCACGTCCTGGGTTTCTTCTTCACGTCTCTGAGCTTTTTCTTGGACTTCTTTTTTGTCTTGAGCAGATCTTTTATGGCAGTGTCGAGGTCTTCATCGCTGTCCAGGGAGCTGCTTTTGTCTCCGCTTCGCTCTGACTGGTGTGATGCTGTGGTCGGTCGGGTTGGACTTCTCGAAGACGCTGTAGTCGTTTGGGTTGGACTTCTCTGAACAGTTCTCTCAGAATTATGGTCTGTCTCTTTGTCATCTGTTCCTGACATGTTGGAGACACAAAGACTCTTGTCCTTCAGTCTTCTTCTCTGTGTTAAAGATAATTTTTGTGGTTTCTTTGGGACAGAAACCTCTTTCGGTTCTTGAGCGTTGGCTGGCTGTTTATGCATTTGGGCCTTTTGCTCCAGAAATTTCCTGATTTCTTGCTCGATTCCATCCTCACTATCAACGGAACTGCTGTCTTCATGTGTCCGGGTGTTGGGAAGAGAAGGCTGAAGGGGAAGGTCAGGCGGACCTTGACTGCTCAGTCCAATCCCCTGATGGAAGGGCCCGGGCAGAACAGTTTTAGAAATGTCCAGAATGGCTTCAGCACACATTAGTTCAGCTGATGTGTTAACTTTGGGAGGAGCAGAGACCGGCTGACCTTTGTGCATTGGAAAGTCTGGAAGTGAAGACCTGGGTTTACCTTCAGGTGAACAAGTTTGGTTCTCTGTTCGGACCCTTTTTCTTTTCAGTTTGTGTCTCTTCCTGTTTTCTGAGCTCGTAGTGTGCATTGGAGACCTGTTGGAAGGTGTCTGCGTGTGCAGAAATGTTTTCTGGCCGCTCTTCTCTCGAAGTTGCTCCAGCTGGTAGGAGCGAATAGCTTCTTCGATCCCATCATCACTCGTCGAGTCTGACTCGCAGTGGAACGGATGCAGATTTAAGGTTTCCTGCCTGTTTAGCTGCTCTTGTTTCTCCAACTGATATCTCTGGATGGCCTCTTCAATTCCATCGTCACTGCTGGAATCATCAGAGTCTTCCTCCTCTTTCACCAAGAACGGTGTTTTGTTGAAGAGGCTGGTTGGTTCAGAGCAGCTCTTTGAACTTACCAAACTTTGATTCAGATCAAAGTTCTCATCTCTGGAAGCTTTGTTTTTGATGTACTTTTTTAAAGGTCCAGTAGCTGCTGCCGCTGTCGGAGCCTCAGCTTGGGCTCTCGTTGGAAAGTGACTCATGGAAATCAGGGAAGTGCTGCTGTTCGAGCTGTGTTTGGCAACATCTGGAAACGGAGAGGTTTTGCTTGGGAGTTTGGAAGTTTGAAGAAAAGCGGATCCGTGTTCAGTCTTGTGTTTGTGACCGTCTTTTTCTTTCAAGTACTCGAGTATTGCTTCTTCGATTCCTCTATCCACTGAGTCATCACTGTCTGAGCCACTGCTCTCATTGTGGTTTGTGGAAGAAAAATGGGTCTGTGGGTTTTCTGTGGGGTTTTTAGAAGAGCCCACAGGAGACTTGAAGGCATGGGTATGGCACTCTTGTCCCTGGATCTCGTCGCTCATCTCGAGTGAGGACTGGGTGCTCCTCAGGCTCTCTATGATCATCTGGACCTTGTTAGAGATAGGTGTTGCTCTGGTTGACAGCTCTGAGTCTGAGTCATTGAAGCAAACTGGAAGGCTGTAGCTTCCAGGTGGACCACATCTTCTCCACTCAGCCTGTGTCGCTGCGACAGGAGATACGTTCATCAGGTACATCCTACTGAAGTTTGGAGCTCCTCAAACGTCAGAGAGCCGCTGCCTCCGACAGTCATGACATTCTTTAACCTAGAATGGCGATAAAAACACAAAATGATGATTTAAATAAAAAATATGTAGAAACAGGAAGCAGTTTATCAGCATATCAAATGTTACAGCTGGGAATAAAGTAACTTAATAACTGGTTTATTAATATTTAACAGAAGAAAACTATGCTCAAATTTAAACCTATTGATTTACACCAGTAGTGGTGATGGGGGTTCTGCAATTGTACATCAATTTTAAAAAGGGATCCCCGATTAGTTGCAACATTACTTTATTTGATACACATATATTTTAACTGTAAAATAAAGACTGTAAAAATACTGTAGGATGTTTAGTTTTTATAACTTTTAAAAATATATTTGAACATGGATGGAACCATTTTATTTACACGCAAAACATTCTGGGTAAATGATGATGTGGATAGGTCCTCGGTGCGAGGGTGCTAGCGAGCTATATCCAACCCTGAAGGTTAATCTTGGACAATATCTGATGATCAACTCTTTTAAATGAAACCAGAGAGTGTTGACAGAGAGGAGAAGGTAGAAATGACTCAGCCTGTAACTGAAAATATGGATGGAGGACAACAGAGCTGCTTCATGGAAGAAGAACCTCAACTTAGCCTGTTAGCCTTTGCGCTAGCACCAATGCTATATTGCCTTTTACAAATTAGCTCGGTGCTAGCACAACAAATAAGCTAAACTGAGGTCCTCCATCCATATTTTCAGTTGCAGGCTGAGTCATTTCTACCTTCTCCTCTCTGTCATGTGGATGGAGGACCTCAGTGACGAGAGGAGAATGTGTAGCACTGAGCTAATACATATATATGGTGATAACATCTGGGCTAACGCTAAAGCTAACAGGCTAAGCTGAGGTTCTTCTTCCATGAAGCAGCTCTGTTTTCCTCCATCCATATTTTCAGTTACAGGCTGAGTCATTTCTACCTTCTCCTCTCTGTCAACACTCTCTGGTTTCATTTAAAAGAGTCAATCGTCAGATATTGTCCAAGATTAAACTTCAGGATGGATATACCTCGCTAGCAGCCTCGCACCGAGGACCTGTCCATGTCATCATTTACCCAGAATGCTTTGCGTGTAAATAAAATGGCCCCATCCGTGTAATATAGTTTTAAACTTTTAGTTTAAAATTGATAAAAACTAAACAGCCTACAGTATTTTTATAATCTTTATTTAACTGTTAAATTATTTGTTAAGCAAATAAAGTCTAATGTTACAACTAATCATGGATCCCTTTAAGAATAAGGCCACATTTAATTAATAGGTAACAACTTAATATGTTTTACTGAATTAACCATGAAAAATGAGTAATCAAAAGTTATAAAGCAAAAATGGATAATTAGCTTAATCAGAAAAAAAAACTTGACACCGACACAAACTGATTTTCTTTATAATGGCATTCATCCAGCACAAACAAACAGTGCCACCATGTGGGGGAAATGTTGTAGTTTACCTGCAGGCCACCATCCATTTTTACCTCTCAGGTGAGTTTATTCAATGACAGCAGAAAATCTGGAGACCCCACATATAAGAACTGTTTGAATGTGGGAGCACAAATTCAGTAAGACTCCTGGAAACAGAGCGAACCCTCTGTGTTCAACCATCAGTGTGGACCTGGTTTTACAGATGATACTTTTACCTTCTAGCTTGCATTTTGCTTTTAACTAGCTTCTTTGAGGCTTGTTTTTGTACACCAGGTTACTTTCTTGCACAAGATCTGCCAACATTTGAGTAAACTTGTTAGGTTTCCCGTCCACCTCTGGTTTGTGTCCTGACATGTATTTCATCTGATAAACACAGACCAGTTGTCCAGCTTTTCTTTTCAGCTTGAAAACATTTCAGAGGACAATCATGTGTTTAATTTATATTAAGTCAGAAACTGAAATCTTTACAGGTCAATGGTGGGACGGAGAAATTCAGAGAGAGCATGTCCTCAGATAGTGGTTCAGATAGGACTAGGGCTGCCAAGATTAGTCGATTAGACGACTAATCGATTATTAAAATAGTCAATGATTAATTTAATGATCAATTAGTCTTTTTTTTTTAATTTCTTTACTTTGTTTTTCTCTCCAAACTGCTTTGACACCTTCCACTGCCACATCTGCCTTTCTGTCCTTGACACTAGGGTTGGGCAATGTTGGCAAAAAATTTATCACAATTAATTGTGGTAGTTAGCCGATAATGATTAATTTGATAATTAATCCCCTGGAGGCCCTGGATACCTGATATCCTAGTCACATAATTTAAATCACTCTGGTGGGAAATATTTGCTCTCCGTAAAAATCTGTTCCAAATTGTGTCAAAAGTACAGACTTCAAGCCAAACATCAATTTTTAAATTGTGTCGACAGACCAAGTAAAACCTGAGTTATGATAAATAAATTTCATGACTTTAAAAAAATGTTCTTCTTATTTGAAGCAGAGAGGAACATTGAGCGGATTGATCGGGGAGATCTCCAGTCAGTCTACCTGCTGGCATTAATCGTATTAATCGTCAAGTGCCAAAAACTAATCGATTAAATGTCCTGATGCATCTCAGTAATCCAGGTAAAAAATCAAAAAGAAAAAAATTATATAGGTCTTCTGGAGAAATCACACACACGACAGGCCCTGGAGCAGTGTGGTTATCCTGACTGGGCTTTCCTGAAAGCAGACAGGAAACACAGACAGGACTCCATGCAACCTTCAGGTGAAAATGAAGACCCCAAACCCAGACCCAAACCAGTGGTTATTCCGTATGTTGCGGGTGTTTCGGAGAAACTGAGACGTTTATTTTCTAAACATGATGTCCCAGTGGCTTTCAAACCCCAAAACACATTACGGCAAAGGCTGGTTCACCACAAAGATCCGGTGCCCCGGCACAAACAGAGCAATGTTGTATATGCTGTTAAGTGCCAGGAGGACTGCGACCAGTTATACATCGGGGAAACAAAGCAGCCACTGTTCAAAAGAATGTCCCAACACAGACGAGCTACATCTAATGGCCAGAACTCTGCAGTTTTCACTCATTTACAGGCCAGTGGTCACTCTTTCAGAGATGTGGATGTTCTCATTCTTGATAGAGAGGAACGTTGGTTTGAGAGAGGAGTAAAAGAAGCCATTTTTGTGAAGAAAGACCGTCCATCATTAAACAGAGGTGGAGACCTCCGTTTTCAGCTGTCCCCCTCCTACAGCGCTGCTATTGCCAGTATCACTCCACCCCCTGTTAACAATAGGTGTTAATTAGGTGTCAACGATAGCCATGTGATGTGAGTATCAGTCACATGGAGGCAGGACTCAAAAGCCTGAATTTTGCCTGAAACTCTCAGACTGAAGAAGTCTCTTGGAAGAGAGACGAAACGTTTCATTAGAGAAGAACCCGTCCAGAAGACCTACACAATTTTTTTCTTTTCTAATCGATTAAAGTTTTTTTTACGATTAATTGCACACAATACGATTTTGCCCAACCCTACATGACACACATGCACATTTTATATTCAATTAACGTATGACACGATTAGTCGACTGAAAAAAAAAATCGGTGAATAATCGACTATAAAATAATCGTTTGTGGCAGCCCTAGATCGGACCACTAAAGAGTCCTGGACAGGAAGTTCCCCCATGGAGAATAAGCTATGATAAGCTAGAATAAGAATAAGATAGCATAAGAATAAACTAGAATAAGCTGTCCACCTGTAAGGGGCACCAAGAAGGGGCTTTATCCTGTCTGTGAGCAGTGGACAGGAGGCTCTGAAAGTCCATAAGACGTGTTTTTTCTGCCCACCTGTAACCTCTCAGAGGGGGCTCTGCCTACTGTCTGTGACCCCTGAACAGGAGGCTCTGACGGCCGCCAGTGTCCCGCTGCCAGGTAGCTTGTGCCCCCAGGAGAAGGGGGGCAAGACACCTCCAGATAATGGTCAGGTTTTCAAAGAAACCAGGTTAAAACGTTAGTGATACAAACAGACCGGAAACCAGAGAGCAAGAACGTCCAGCTGTAAAAAAAAAAAAAAAAAAGAGCGACTATTTAAAACATTTAAACCGAGACAAACTCTGTCAACTTTATTTAATTAATTGCACAAAAAGTTTTCACCATCTGTGAGTAGTTGTGACCCGTTTCGCGGAACCAAACGTGTCGCTTCCTGCTACACAAAAAACCCCGGCTGCCTCCGAGACCCTCTAGCGGCTCGGACCGCACCGATGCCCGGCGTGAATCGGTAGGAGACTCCGCAGAGCGACCATGTTTTCACGTACCGGCCACGGCTGTCAGAACCGGCGGAGCTCGGCCGGTAACACAGCCGAGAGTCGTAAAGTCTGCTCGGTAAAAACCAGACAGGTGCAATTTAACGGAGGAATGACACGGATGGTGCGAAACGGTGACGGCATAAAGCACGGAACCAGGCGGGCCTCCAGGCTGCTGCAGCCCGGCATTTTCTTCGGCAGAGGAAGCCTCTTTGTGGAGAGCCACCGCAGTCACATTCGCTTATTTTCACACAGACGAGCATTACAGGTCTGACCTACCTGGATATGAACCCAAACAGCTTCTCAGGTTGGTTTCTGAATAAATCCCCCGGTGATTAAATCCACCGGGGAGGTGATGTTTCTGTGTCCGTCAGCGGCTCCCTCTGAGCCCGAAGCCGTCTGTGCCGAGTCCCCCTCCTCCGCTCCGACTACCGGCAGGACCCACAGCTTCCTCCAACCCACAATCCATCCGAGCAGGGCCCCGGAACACACAAAACCTACCATACCTCCTGAAATATCTGCCATTTAATCATTTATCAAACTGTAGAGATGAATTATTAACTTTATAGATAATAAATAAAGTTACTCATATATGTTATAATATATGTTAATATGATAAAAATGATGTTTTATTGTCTATACATATTGATGATTGTACAGCACCTTGTGAATTTATTTCTATGAAATACGTTTTATAAATAACTCTTTATTTAGCTATACTTACTAAATAATAATAATTTAATTGATCTCCATAAATAACTTCCAGTTTATATTTAATACTATTATTATATAATTGAAAAGGTTTATTAAAAGGCTTTATTTTTTTAATCATTCACTTTATTAACCTCCTAAACCACTATGATAATGTGTCTTTCACCAGAACCTTCACCAATAATAACCTGCAAACATTTGTTACCTGTTTTTATCTAAATTTGCTGAAATAAATGTAAACTAATAAAACAAAAATATTGTAAAAGGACAGATGTGTTTATGCAAAGAACAATTAGGAAAAAACTGAGTTTTTAGATTTGCACGAGTTTGCTTGATTCTGTTGCTGTTATTACTTCTTGTCACTAGAGGGCGCTGCCGTCCACATCAAATAAAATATTAAATAGAAAGCCCTACTGGATCTGTCAGAAATTATTTTATACTCTTTATAGTAACTTTAAATAATTCACAATTAATGTTAACTTTATACATCAATCATGTTAAACAGCTAAAGGGAGGGTGTTCACTGGCAGGCCAAACTTGAGTCTCCGGCTCATGAGTTGCCAGTTCTAAACCTCCATCCATCCATCCATCCATCCATCCATCCATCCATCCATCCATCCATCCATCCATCCATCCATTTTCTTCCGCCTATCCGGGGTCGGGTCTCGGTGGCAGCAGCTTCAGAAGGGAGGCCCAGACCTCCCTCTCCCCAGCCACTTCTTCCAGCTCCTCCGGGGGAACTCCAAGGCGTTCCCAGGCCA